TTACTGGCAGTTATCATAGTTGCAGTTGGGCATTGTCTAATTATTTGTGTAAATTCTGCCTCCCCTAATAGAATGTCATCTCTAAGAAGGAAGGGATGGTGTCTGTCTTGTTCTCAAGGATCTTGTATAGAATAGATGCCCAGTGAATACTTCCTGAGTAAATGAATAAATGAAACCCATCCTGAATGTGGGACCATACTGTTCTGAAAGGGCACTGACCAAGGAGTCAGACAATGTGTGTTCTGGTCATTGTGCTGCCATAAACTTGCTGAGAGACCTGGAGCGAGGTGATATGCCTCTTGGAGCCTGCTTTCCTACCTGTAAAATGGGGTTAACAACACCATGTCTACTGCATGTAGACGTGGAGAGGGATAAAAAGGGATACAAGACGATGTGAATGTATAACCAGCAGAGAGTAAGCATTCAGTAAAATTGCCTTTTATTTTTCTTGGTGTCTTGTCACTTCACCAGTGAAATGGGAATAATTTGACTAAATAATTTTTAGAATTTCTTCCAGTTCAAAATTATAGTTGACCCTTGAACAACACGGCAGTTAGGGGCACCAACCCCTAGAGCAGTCAAAAATTTATATGTAACTCTTGACTCCCAAAAACTTAACTGCTAATAGCCTACCAGAAGCCTTACCAATAACATAAACAACACATATTTTCTGTTATATGCATTATATGTTGTATTCTTACACTAAAGTAAGCTAGAGAAAAGAACTTACTAAGAAAAGTATAAGGTGTAGAAGAATAAAACTGGATCCTCATCTTTCACCTTATACAAAAATCAACTTAAGGTGGATCAAAGACTTAAATCTAAGACCTGAAGCCATAAAAATTCTAGAAGATAACATCAGAAAAACTCTTCTAGACTTTGGCTTAGGCAAAAAGGTCATGACCAAGAACCCAAAAACAAATGCAACAAAAACAAAGATAAATAGATGGGGCTTCATTAAATTAAAAAGCTTCTGCACAGCAATAGAAACAATCAGCAGAGTAAACATACAACCCACAAAGTGGGAGAAAATATTAATAAACTACGTGTCTGACAAAGGACTAATACCCAGAACCTATAAGGAAGTCAAACAAATCAGCAAGAAAAAAGCAAACAATCCCATCAAAAAGTGGGCCAAGGACATGAATGGACAATTCTCAAGGAGGATATACAAATGGCCAACAAACATATGAAAAAAATGCTCAACACTACTAATTATCAGGGAAATGCAAATCAAAACCACAGTGCAATACCACCTTACTCCTGCAAGAATGAACATAATTAAAAAATCAAAAAATAATAGATGTTGGCAAGGGTGTGGTGAAAAGGGAATGCTTTGACACTGCTGATGGGAATGTAAACTGGTACAACCACTATGGAGATTTCTTAAGTAACTAAAAGTAGAACTACCATTTGATCCAGCAATCCCATTACTGGGTATCTACCCAGAGGAAAATAAGTCACTTTATGAAAAAGACAACACACAACATGTTGCACACAACATCTTTATAGTGGCACAACTCCCAATTGCAAAATATGGAATCAGCATAAATGCCCATCAATCAATGAGTGGATAAAGAAAATGTGGTGTATATATATGAACATGCCATTAAAAGGAACAAAGTAGGCCGGGCGCGGTGGCTCACGCCTGTAATGCCAGCACTTTGGGAGGCCGAGGCGGGCGGATCACGAGGTCAGGAGATCAAGACCATCCTGGCTAACATGGTGAAACCCCATCTCTATTAAAAATACAAAAAAATTAGCCAGGCGTGGTGGCGGGCGCCTGTAGTCCCAGCTGCTTGGGAGGCTGAGGCAGGAGAATGGCATGAACCTGGGAGGTGGAACTTGCATTGAGCCGAGATCATGCCACTGCACCCCAGCCTGGAAGACAGAGCAAGACTCTGTCAAAAAAAAAAAAAAAGGAACAAAATAATGGCATTGACAGCAACCTGAATGGAATTGGAGACCATTATTCTAAGTGAAGTAACTCAGGAATGGAAAACCAAACATATGTTCTCACTTACAAGTGGGAGCTAAGCCATGAGGATGCAAAGACATAAGAAGGATACAAGGAACTTTGGGGACTTGTGGAGAAGGGTGGGATGGGGATGAGGGATAAAAGACTACACATTGGGTACAGTGTACACTGCTTAGGTGATGGGTACACCAAAATCTCAGAAATCACACCCAAAGAACTTATCCCAAAGAAAAAAAAAAAGAACTTCTCCATGTAACCAAACATCACCTATTCCCCCAAAACTGAGATAATAGTAATAAAAAATTTTAAAAAAGAAAAGCATAAGGAAGAAAATATACTGACTAAGTGAAAGTGGATCATCAAAGGTCTTCATCCTCCTTTTCTTCACATTAAAGCAGGCTAAGGGGGAGGAGAGGTTGGTCTTGCTATCTCAGGGATGGCAGAGGCAGAAGAAAATCCACATGTAAGTGGATCCACACAGCTCAAACCCATGTTTTTCAAGGGTCAGCTGTACTTTGATTTCTTCTGAGCTACAGTGTCCCCTTCCTCTACCCTCACTTCCCTCCACCACTAGCTCCATTCCTAACTACTTTCTTCTACTGTTCTCAAGCCCAGGATACATCAGCTCTCCCTGGGAAAGACAAAAGCCATCTTCATGCCGCCAGGGTATGGCAGTTTATCTCATACCTACTGTTTCACCACCACCCTATCCTCTATCACTCATTGTTTCATTTACATTTAAAAGATATTTTTGAGTTTCCACTCTTGTGTGTGGTAGACTCTCACCCCTCAAGTTCTGTTCTTTTTCTTGTGCCTTCCCACATACTCTGTTGAGTGGGAGAAATAATGCGTAATCAGCAAAGCAATAGAAAGATGCTGGTGTGTTTTTGAGGGCAGTCCCCCTTAATTAAGGGAGATGGGTTCTAAAAAGTCCTTGTAGATAAACAAATGGGTGATATTTGCTTCTTATCTGAAATTACTAACACAATTGTCTACAACTGGTCATTCAGTGTTCTTGATTTCCCCTGTATTCTTTCAATTACCCTAATTGCTACTAGGTAAAAACTTCAGTCAAGTTTTAATTAATCTTTAATGTTAACTTAAAATAGCTGCAGTTTTTTGTTTGTTGAGACAGGTCTTGCTCTGTCACCCAGACTGGAGTGCAGTGGCACAATCATGGCTCACTGCAATCTCTGCCTCACGGCTTCAAGTAATTCTCCTCAGCCTTCCAAGTAACTGGGACCACAGGTGTGTGCCATGCCCAGCTAATTTTTTGTTCTTTTCGTAAAGATGGGGTTTTGCCATTTTACCCAGGTTGGTCTTGAACTCCGGAACTCAAGCAATCCCCACTGCGGCCTCCCAAAGTTCTGGAATTACAGGCATGAACGACAGTGCCCAGCTGCTACTGTTCTCTCTTAACAAGAATCAAGTCTTAGAGCAAGATGCATCTAAACCCACTTTGGGGTATCAAAAATATCCCAATCTTGTGGTTCTAATAAATGTTTAACAACTAGATTGGCGTGGAGGCAGAATGGAGGTTCTGATGTGAACCATTAGTCAGTTTTTGTGCTATTACCAGACGTCCCCTAATAGGGCTGGGCAGAGATGCTAACAATTGGCTCATGAGGTCAGGTGGGCCTAGCTCCAACACACCACTGTACCCAGTCCCTGAGTTCTTAATCTTCATCACAACCTCCACTTGCTTCCCAGCCATTCTTTCTGATCTCAGTTAATGATGCCTCTCAGTCAGCCAAGAAGGAGACCTGACAGTTCCATCCACTTCTCCCACCCTCATCACTGGATCCTGTTGACTTCTCTCTCCAGCGTCTCCTGAGTCTGTCCCGTTGTCCGTCCCCACCACAAACACCCTGGTCTGGTCTGTCCTGCCCATGGCCTTCATTGCTACGGCATTGACTTTCTTTTTTTTTTTTTTTTTTTTTTTGAGACGGAGTCTTGCTCTGTCGCCCAGGCTGGAGTGCAGTGGCCAGATCTCAGCTCACTGCAAGCTCCGCCTCCCGGGTTCACGCCATTCTCCTGCCTCAGCCTCCCGAGTAGCTGGGACTACAGGCGCCCGCCACCTCGCCCGGCTAGTTTTTTGTATTTTTAGTAGAGACGGGGTTTCACCGTATTAACCAGGATGGTCTCGATCTCCTGACCTCGTGATCCGCCCGTCTCGGCCTCCCAAAGTGCTGGGATCACAGGCTTGAGCCACCGCGCCCGGCCAGCATTGACTTTCATTACAATTTCCCTGCCTCCGTGCTGGTCCCTGTCAGCCACTCTCTACTCTAAAGACAGTCAGCCTGCTGACACTTAAATTATGTTAGGCCAGTCTTGTTAAAAACGTTTCTGTGGCTTCCTCTCCGTTAGGATCAGTCCAAACCCTTAGCATTCCTTACTTTACCACACATAGGCTGTGGGCTGGTCTTTGTCTGTCTTATTCTCCACCACCCACCCCTTGCCCTCCTCATTCTAGCTGTTAGGAATCACACGTGTATCCTCCATCACACCAAGCTCTTTCTCTATTCAGGGCCTTCCTTTGGAGGAGCTGCTTCCTATGTCTGTATGATCATCTCTCCTTCCACTCCCCACCCACTCACCTACCCAGCCCTGTGGCCTAACTGCCTTTTATCCTTCAGTGATTGGAGCAGTGTGTCAGTTCCAGCATGACTTCCTTGGGGAGGCCCTAGACCAGGCAGCCCCCCTCATGCAGCCCCTGATGTAGAGCCTGCTCCCTGTCTTCTCCACAGGTGAGGCTCCTGGAGGGCCTGGAACAACCCCATATTCCCAGCACAGCCCGTGGTACCTGGAACATGGTTGGTGTTCCATGAATGTTGAGTCCATTTCTTGGATTTATGCAGGTCCCAGTTTTCTATTAAAGAGTAAGCTCTACATGGTCAAACATGTTCTTACTTCCTGTACTTGGTGTCAGCAGTTTGTCAGCTTAGCATAAAAAGTACCTGATGAATAATTTCTGCCACTAAAGTCATGTTGTTTTTTCTAACCATTTTTTTTTCTCTCCTAGGTTTCATCAGCTGTAGTTCCCAACAAACATATGGCATTCTGCATAAAAATGTCACTTTCCATGTACCAAGCAATATACCTTTAACAGAAATCCTATGGAAAAAACAAAAGGATAAAGTTGCAGAACGGGAAAATTCTGAATTCAGAGCTTTCTCATCTTTTAAAAATAGGGTTTATTTGGACACTGTGTCAGGTAGCCTCACTATCTACAACTTAACATTATCAGACGAAGATGAGTATGAAATGGAGTCGCCAAATATTACCGATACCATGAAGTTCTTTCTTTATGTACTTGGTGAGTATTCCATCAGTTGATTTGTTTAAAATGGCAAATTTCCATTTTCTTAGTCTGTTTTCAGAGACTAACACAAACTAATGGTCTATGAGAAAAGAATTAGATGTTACCTATTGTCAGGGTTTTCTCCTTTTCTGGTGGCATACAGGAGCTAGCTACTTTCAATTCCTTTTTTTTTAGTCTGTTTTCAGAGACTAACACAAATCAATGGTCTATGAGAAAAGAATTAGATGTTACTTATTGTCAGGGTTTTCCCCTTTTCTGGTGGTATACAGGAGCTAGCTACTTTCAATTCCTTTGTCATTCCTCTGGGTGAGGAGAGAATCTAAGCAAGGTATCGGGAGAACAGTATCAGTTGTCTTACTAGGAATGTTCTGGAAAGAGATGTAGTGACAGCAGTTAGCTTAGAACTCTTTGGGCTCCACTGATAGATGTCACTCTACAAAGTTCCTGCTTCTCCACACAGCGGGGAGACTGTTTTTCCTCCTGCACCGTTTTACTTAATTAATTAATTTATTTTGAGGAATCTCGCTCTGTTACCAAGGCTGGAGTACAGTGGCACAATCTTGACTCACTGCAACTTCCGCCTCCCAGGTTCAAGCGATTTTACTGTCTCAGCCTCCCAAGTAGCTGGGATTACAGGCGCACACCACCATGCCTGGCTAATTTTTGTATTTTAGTAGAGACGGGGTTTCACTGTGTTGGCCAGTCTGGTTTCAAACTCCTGAGCTCAGGTGATCCTCCCACCTCAGCCTCCCAAAGTGCTGGAATTACAGGTGTGAGCCACCACACCCGGCTCCTGCACCATTTTAAACTGAAACTAGATATAGGGGACACATTTCTCCCTGCTTCTCACTAACACTCCTCCCTGGTCCCTAAAGCCCCTTTTGTGTTGCAGTCTTGTATAGGCCCCTGCCTTACATGCCAGTGTTTCTTGGTCATTTTAAGGCCTGCCTTATTTTCATGGTTTCTAACATTCTTGGTGTCTTGGTGGTTGCAATATTTAAATTAAAATTCTGTCAGTATTTTCCTTGATCTCCTCTCCTGAAAGGATCTTGTCCTCTGCGTTACCCACTACCCATACATGTAACCGAGAACTCATCATTACCTCAATGTCAGGTGTCGCACTCTGCCACCATGCCCTGTCCTTGATGATGCTGATGATGACAGTCCTTCACACACCTGATGTCCCTGCTGCCCTCCCTACTCAGCCTGAGTGCTGCTGTCACTGACTCGACTCAGTCTGCCGCAGACACACTTGGCTTCCTTGCTCCTTTGTTGGCTTGTTATATTCACATAGCCAGATTACAGCTAGGTTAAGTCCGGTGCTTTGCCTATTCTGTGCTCACACCCATGTGGTTGCAGAAAAATACACCACCCTGCAAAGTCCTGCACTTTTAATTTCTAATCACTTACCTCAGTTAAGTCTGGTATTTCCTAGCCTGTTCACTTAGCCACTCTCCTAGCAGTTACTTTTTCTCTCCTCGAATCTCGAATACCTCCTTCTCCAGACTCACTCTTGAGCTGAAGGCTTTGCTTCTTATTTCACTAAGGAGAATAAGCAGAGGGCAATTTCCACAAGCTCTCACCACCTGCCTACCTTCCTACCTGTACCTGAGCCTGTAGGCCCTGCTTTCTCTCCTGATATGAATGGACTTTCTGAGTTCTCACCTGAGGTTAAACTTTCCACGTGTGCCCTGGATCCCACCTCCTCTCACCATCCTCGGGAATATCACCCTAGTGCTTCTACCCACTCTCTCCTGATGAGAATTTCCCCCATAAGTTGATGGTTCATTTTAAGCGGCATACATATACACTGTCGTCAAAACTTTCTCATGATCCCCCTACCCCGCCAGCAACCACCACCAACTCTTTGTCTTCACTTTATAGAAAATCTCCTTGAAGAAGTTGTCCATATTCACTTATTCTGATCCCTTATATTCACTTTTAACCCACTCCAAGTAGGCTTTCATCTGCACTGCTATGCCAAAGCTCCTCTAGACCTCCTTGTTAATAAATCTAGTGGTTCATTCTCAGTCCATGTCATTCTTGACATCTCAGCAGCTTTTGACATAGCTGATCACTCCCTCCTCCAAGTACTGTCTTCACTTGATGTCCAGGATACCACCCTATTCACGTTTCTTTCTTCCTTTTTTTTTTTTTTCCTTGAGAGGGGATTTCGCCCTTGTTGCCCAGGCTGGAGTGCAATGTCACAATCTCAGCTCACTGCAACCTATGCCTCCCGGGTTCAAGCGATTCTTCTGCCTCAGCCTCCCGAACAGTTGAGATTACAGGCATGCACCACCATGCCTGGCTAATTTTATATTTTTAGTAGAGATGGGGTTTCACCATGTTGGTTAGGCTGGTCTCGAACTCCTGACCTCAGGTGATCCACCTGCCTCGGCCTCCCAAAGTGTTGGGATTACAGGCGTGAGCCACTGCACCTGGCTTCACATTTCTTTCTAACACACTGACTATTCCTTTTCATCTTCTTGTGCTGGTTTCCTCATTTCCCCAACCTCTTAACACTGGAAACATCAAGGCTTAAGCCTTGGGTCTCTTTCCTTTTCTGCCTGCGTTCATAGCCAGTGGGTGAGCTGATCCTATGTCAGGGCTTTAAATATCATCTCAGTGCTAATAATGCACAGATCTAGAGCTCTAGCCCAGAGTACCCCGCCGAGCTCCTTATGTGTATACCTGACTGCCCACTGTACATCTCCACTCAGATATCTAATTGGCCTTTCAAATATCCCATGTCCAGAAGTAAGCTCATTATCTTCCCCTTAAAACCTGCTCCTCCCCAAATCTTTTCCCTTTTGGTTAATGGCAGCTCATCCTTTCAGCTGGTCAGTCTGAAACCTTGATGTCATCCTTGATACCTCTGTTTTTCTTGAACACCACATTCACTCCACCAGGAAGTTGTATTGGTTCTACCAGAATGATCTTTTTAAAACAGAAGTCAGATCATGTCACTCATCTGTGTGGAACTTTCTAATGGCCCCATCTAACTCTGTTAAAGCTAGAATGTGTAAAGTGACCTGCAAAGCTGTGTGAGGTCTGACCCCTATGGACTCTGTTTAGACAAATACAGCTTGCTAAGATGTCAAAGCATACTCTTAGAAGATTTCTTTGAAAAAGTAGAATCTTTGAAACGTGGACATTAGGGATCTGGTAGTTTACAGACAGGGCCAACAAAGAAGAAGATTGAGAATTTAGATCACACATTTTAAGAGCCCGTTTTATAGAGTTTGTAAAACTAAGTTCAAAACATTTGAATAAGTTTCTCCTCTTAAACTTGATGAAATGTTTTAAAATAATTTAATTTAAAATATTCTAGGCCGGGCATTGTGGCTCAAGGCTATAATCCCAGCACTTTGTGAGGCCAAGGAGGGAGGGTTGCTTAAGCCCAGTAGTTCAAGACCAGCCTAGGCAATATAGCAAGACTCCATCTCTACAAAAATAAAATAATTAACCAGGCATGGTGGTACATGCCTGTAGTCCCTGCTACTCAAGAGGCTGAGGTGGGAGGATCCCTCGAGCCCGGGAGGCTGAGGCTGCAGTGAGCCGTGATTGCGCCTCTGCACTCCAGCCTGGGTGACAGACCAAGATCCTGTCTCAAAATAACTAACTAGCTAAATACATTAATTAAATAAAACATTCTATGGCAACTCAGCAAAGGTATGGTTTTGGTGGTCAGACCAACTGGATAGACCTTAGGAAGCCTGCAGAGGAGGAAAGTACAGGGGAGGTGAGTTTTGATCAGGAGGCAGTGATATTGATAGTATTGAGTGTGGGACTTAAAGTCCTGGTTTGAGAGTCTGGACATCAGCTTGTAGCAGTGGGGAGCCATTGTATCCTATACTGGAGCAAGGAGGTGACTTGATAAAATACATTTTTGGAAGATTAATGTGATGGTGAATACTTACGATGGATTAAAGAGAGGAGATGTCAAGTTAGAAGCTACTGTGATCATCCAGGTAGATAGACGGTCTAAGAAAGAGTCTGCAAGATGTAGGTTTTGGTTGTAAAAAGACATAAGATGACTCTAGGTTTCACATCTGCATGATAAAATGATTGGTCACACAATTTTTTTTTTTTTTTTAAGAAATGAGGAAGTCATACTTCCTTGAGGTAATGTTAACACTTGTTTTAGTAACCTGGTAATCTTCTAGAGACACCAGACCTAATAGGAGACTTCCAGTGAGTATATTTTGGACAGGGGGATTTCCTGGCACTTCCTAAATTCAGGGCATCCACTTCCTTCTGTGTGTACATTGAGATCTGGCTTTCCTCTATACCCAAAAGTCCCCTTAAAATTTCTACTTCTGATGTTTATTAGTCCTTTCCCATCTTTTTATGGACCTTCATCACATCTCAGATGATGATTTTTATGTAAGTAGAATTAACTGCCCTGTCCTTAACTGGGCTGGATTGATACTTGACCTTTACTAAAATTCGTGAAAATATACACATATTTCTATAAAATGTCATCAGATATGTGTAAGAAATTCTCATTTTTTACACAGCAGTGAACTCAATTCATTAATTATAAATTGACTAATTGTCTTAGGGAGGAAGTAGACACATTTCTTGCCAGTTTAATGCTGCTTAAAGTAGAGGTATCACCAGTATTTGTTAGATACAGCTGTGGTGAGTCCCGCGGGCAGCAAGAAAATGTGAAAGATGTATAGAAGGAAAAGATCTAAGGTGTAGAAACTGTGATCTAGGTGCTGCAGAAAGGCTTGCACACTTTTAGATGAGTTGGATAGGCCCTTCTACATTTGCTATCTGGCAACTGTTGTGTAATGAGATAGCTAGAAAGAGCTTCTATATAGTCAAGGGAGTTCTAGCAACTTAGAAGATAATACTAACACTTCTCTATGTTTCCCCTCAAATTACTTTCATATTCTGGTTTTTTTTTTCTTTTCTTTTCTTTTTTACAAACCCTGCATGTGGCATTCAGCCATATTCTGTTTGACCTTTACAATGGCCTGATACAGCATTCCCTTTCACAGATGAAAATAAGACAGTTTAGGAGTCCGTTTCTCTGTTTGTAGAACAAGAGACCTGGATGGATGCTTTCTTAAAACTTCCAGCTCCTAAAAGGACTGTGGCCCCAGGTCACATAGCAGGCCAAGGCTAAGGTTTGATCAAATGTCCCAACTCCCAGTCAGTGACTCTTCTCATCATATCACATATACCCTCTGGGGAGCCTTGGCTTCCTGGAGTTGGAAACTCACAGCCAATGGCCATGTGCTTTATTACAGCTAGCATTTGTTAACTACTTACTCTGTGCAGGCACTACATGTTAATTCATATATTGATTATTATCTGTATTAACTCATTTAATCTCATTACAGTCTAATAGAGTAAGTGCTATTTGTGTCCTTCTTGTAGAAAGGAGGAAACCTAGACACAGGTGATTTAAGTAACTTGTCCAATGTCAAATGGCTCTTAGCTGTCATGAAGCTGGGATATGAATTCAAGCAGTTGGGCTTCTGAGTCCATGCTAAACACCATACTGTACCTCTTTGGCGGTAGCTGGTAGAAGAATTTACATTTTGTTTGAAGACTGTCTCTCTGAATCTATCTTTCTATCCATCTGTCTCCCCATCTGTCCAGCACTACTTGTGAGGAGCCATCTGTGTGCCTTGCGTTATGTCAGGTGCTGTGGTTGAAAGGTGAGGCATACCTAGTCTTTGTCCTCCAAAGATGCACAGTCTCTGGGGCTGATGATGCACCTCTGTTCAGTTCAGAAAGTGCTGGATGAAAGACTAGACATTGGCAGAGCTAGATCAATACATTAGAATCTGTAACAGAACGAATAGGGCACACACACCAGAAGTACCTGGGATGGTGGGGCTCAGGAATCTGTATTTTTAACAAGCACCCTTGGTGATTCTTATGCACCTTAAAATTTGAGAAATGCTTCAAAGGACCATTTCTAAGGAAGTAGAAAGCTTGGTTTTCTGCCACTGAGAAATGCCCAGCCTAGTTACAGAGGCAGGCATAAGTATATGAAATACTGAGAACAGGCATTTTTGAACTATTCTGGGGATGCATGTTCCTTGAAAGTCCCCTGAGGGCTGCTATGGGGTGGGGTTGGCAAAAGGGACCACAGGAAGTTAGGGGAGCAGGGCTCTAGGCTTTTGATTTTGAGTCAACTAGAGCAACTTCTTATCCATTGGACTGGATTGCACTGAAGATTTAATTCAGAGAAATTCTACTGCTTAAAAGATGATTAAAAGTCTTTTTAATTTAAGAAAATCTTAAGGAAGTATGTAAGGACTTATGTGAGCTAGATTAAACTTAAAAGCTAGGAAGCCCCAAGTAGAAAGGGAAGTCAGTGTGTGCCTCTGATTTCTACCAAGGCAGCTGGGTACATTATTTAACTGAGCGAGAAGGAATTCAGGAGGAGGAGGAGAAGATGGGGGAACCATTAAACACTTTTATTTTTCAGATTATAATTGGAGCATAAGCTATTAACTTGTTTTATATTATAAAACATCATTTTAAATGGCAACATAGTATTCCATTATCTTGGTGAACCTAAATTTACTTAGATGCTCTTCTAATAGATGTTTATAATGTATCAATACTTTATTATCCCAGTGCTACCATGACCATTGTTGTATATTACATATGTTTTTGCATGTTTCCTCAAGCCTCTTATGATTAATTGCTGGAGGGTAGCTGAAATGCAAGAAGGCATATGAATTAACAAATAAATGACCAATAGGACAAAGTAATTAGCCTTGAGGCTTTTAAAGGGCAACAGTGGCAGAATGTGACATGTTAGTGTCTTAACTCATAGATCCACGCTGCCTTAGCCAATAGGAGGCGCTTCTTAGAGGAAGGGTGGGAGTGAGGCCTCTGGACTGGCAGGTCTGTGACACATGCTGCACCCGGCACTGCCTATTAATAGGGCCAGCCCAACCAATAGGCAGGGCCTGACAAGGCTCTGTGTAGCTCCACCTTTCACAAAATGCTTTGAGTCAGATGTGTTATGGAATTAAAATTTCTTTTTTAAATTTTGGAAAGGTAATACAAGGTATTTCCTCTGCATATTAAGCACCCCACTTAATTATGGGGAGCACCCTGTGGGTCAGGCATAGGAACAAGTATTTATTTCATTCCTATATATTTAGAGACAAGGTCTCAGTCTGATACAGTCATAGCCCAGTGTGTGCAGTGAGCTAGAGTGAATTAGCACAATCATAACTCACTGTAGCTTCAGACTCCTTGGTTCAAGTAGTCCCAAGTAGCTGAAACTATAGGCAGGAGCCATCATTGCTGGCTGATCTTTAAACTTTTTATAGAGACAGGGTCTTACTATGTTACCCAGGCTGGTCTTGAACTCTTGACCTCAAGCCATCCTGCTGCCTCAGCCTCCCAAAGTGCTGGCAGTATGTATAGCCATGAGCCACTGTGTCCTGCCAAGCACAGGAATATTTTTGTGGTGAAACGATAATGAATATTTGAAGTAAGTGAGAAAATAAAGACTATAAATCCTTGTGTTAATTCAGGTCAGGTCAGGATTTGCAGCTTAATGATTTTGCTACCAACTTGTGAGGACTCTTTTGGCTTCAGAGATTTTTTGATTTCAGAATTGAGGATGAGGGATTTGGGGCCTGTATTGGTCTGTTTTCACATTGCTATAAAGATCCATCTGAGACTGGGTAATTTATAAAGAAAAGAGGTTTAATGGACTCACAGTTCCATATGGCTGGGGAGGCCTCAGGAAACTTACAGTCACGGTGGAAGGCGAAGGAGAAGCAAGCATTTTTTTCACAAGGCAGCAGGAGAGAGAACTGCCACACACTTTTAAACCAACAGATGTCATGAGAACTCACTCTCTATCATGAGAATAGCATGGGGAAACCACCCGCCATGGTACAATCACCTCCCACCAGGTCCTTCCCTTGACACATGGGGATTACAATTCAAGATGAGATTTGGGTGGGGACCCAGAGCGAAACCATATAAGGGTCTGAATTTATTCTGTTAAATTTGAACAGGTAGGTCTGACCTAGCAAAAGAAATAATTCTCAGTCCTTGATGCTCAAGGAGTTTGTCTGCTCATCCTTTCAAGCTCGTAAGGAAGTTGGGAGCTCTTCATAAATTTGCAGATGATGAGTCTAAATATTACTATTTTCTGTACTAAATATTACACTTTTTTTTTCCAGAGCCTCTTCCATCTCCTACACTAACTTGTGCATTGACTAATGGAAGCATTGAAGTCCAGTGCATGATATCAGAGCATTACAACACTCATCCACAACTTAACACGTACGCATGGGATTGTCCTTTGGAGCAATGTAAACATAACTCAACCCGTATATATTTTAAGATGGAAAATGATCTTCCACAAAAAGTACAGTGTACTGCTAGCAATCCACTATTTAAAAGAACATCATCAATCATTCCGGAAACCTGTATCCCAAGCAGTGGTGAGTAAATAACTAAATGTGTCATGGAGGCTTTCAAACCACAGATGTGGTGACTAACATAAGGTTCACAATTTTGAAATGTAAAACAAGTTACAATTTTTAACAGAAACCCCATTATAGATATAAAGCTAACATTATTTAGCACTTTCTGTGTTGAGCACCATTCTAATACATATGTTAATTAAATCAATCTTCACTTATCCCTATTTCCTGGTGAGAAACCAACAGAGAGAGAGTTTAAGTTGTTTGCCCAAGGTAACAGCTAGTAAGTGGCAGAACCTGGCTTTGAGTAGAGGCTGTCTGGCTCTAGAGCCCATGGTTTTAACTATTCACAGTGCTGCTTTATAATATTGTTAATAATCATTATGTTCTCAAAGGTTACATATCTACTACAGGAACATGCATTTGATCCGTTTCCTTAGGCCTAACACTATGTTAATATCATGACATCTGTCTTGGCTATGATTTTCTAATGTTGTTTTAGTATTATTTACATTTGCAATTTTTATTATGTTTTTTACATTATATCCCCCGTTTAACAAACAAAAAGGTCAGTGACCTGAAAGTGGTTTATTAAAATATAAAAGAAAAGATGAAAATAGTAAATATTATTATTCAGAATAATATAATTGTAAATAGTGAACAGGATTCCAGGGCAAATAGAGAATATGGGTCTCTAGGGCTGGGATAAGGTGAGTCTATGAATGAAATTTTTCTGAACAAGCAGCTGAAACAAGTAAGGGAAATTAGCAAATACAAGAAATATAAGAAACTTGGATTTTAACTGGTGAGCCACTCTAAGTCTCCCGTTTATTGTCTTTTCCGAACCCTTTCAAAGAATAACTTAAAGCCATTAAAGTTATGTTATTTTCAGACAATGCAGAGTAACTTTTGGGAAAGACATTTTTCAAGAAGAAAAAGTGGACGTCCTCGTCAGGGCGGGCAGCGGCAGCCGCAACTGCGGGCCTGGGGCTTGGGGCCTGGAGCCTGGGGCAGGGGCGAGGGTGGGCGGTCCCTCCCAGCACCCGGCGCGGCCCGCCCTGCCGCCCACCGTCCTGAAGGCCAAGGCGCTTTGTTCTGCATTGCGGGCGGCTTCCATGGCGGCGGCCCAGCGGAGGAGGAGTAGACTGCAGTGAGCCCGCTAGCTTGGCCAGCCCCGTGTACCCCGTGGCCCTAGCGGCATGCCGGGAGGAGCGTTCAGGCTTCTGGTTTTTTAGTTGGAGACGTCCAGGACCTCTTTATTAGATGTTTAGGAATTTCAGTTTTTCCGTAGGGCAGTGGTCATCGTGAGCCTCTGTGGGGTCAGGCTGGGCTAACTGGGGTTTCGATTGTAAGTTTCCTGTGGCCGAGGGCATGTCTGACTGGGAAGAAAGTCCTTGGCATGACTTCTTAGCTGTTGGGAGCTGTGCGGTGCGAGCGAGATGGGCGGCGTGCACTCCCCGAGGACAGGCCTGAGTGGCCTTAGCCTAGTTACTCACGGGACTTGGTTTACCAGACAAGGGGATAAAAACATTCAGATGGCAGATAACAGTTTTTCAGATGGGGTTCCTTCAGATTCCGTGGAAGCTGCTAAAAATGCAAGTAATTCGGAAAAGCTCATGGATCAGGTGATGCAGAATCCTGGAGTTGTGGCAGCTTTACAGGAGCGACTTGACAATGCCCCTCACACCCCTTCCAGCTACATGGAAACTTTACCTAAAGCAGTAAAAAGAAGAATTAATGCATTGAAACAAATTCAGGTGAGATGCGCTCATATAGAAGCCAAGTTCTATGAAGAAGTTCATGACTTGGGAAGAAAGTACACAGCATTATACCAGCCTCTCTTTATCAAGAGAAAAGAACTTATCACCGGTGATGTTGAACCAACATCTGATATGGAATCAGAATGGCACAGTGAAAATGAAGAGGAGGAGAAATTGGCTGGAGACGTGAAAAAAATAAAGTAGTCATAACAGAAAAAGCAGCAGCAACAGCTGAAGAGCCAAATCCCGAAGGAATTCCAGAGTTCTGGTTTACCATCTTTAGAATTAGTCCAGGAGTATGATGAACCAATCTTGAAACACCTGCAGGATATTAAAGTGAAGTTTTCTGACCCTGGACAGCCTATGTCCTTTATATTAGAGTTCCACTTTGAACCCAACTACTACTTTACCAACTCAGTCCTGAGGAAAACCTGCAAGATGAAATCAGAACCAGATAAGGCTGATCCCTTTTCATTTGCAGGTCCTGAGATCATGGATTGTGAGGGGTGTGTACTATTGACTGGAAGAAAGGAAAGAATGTTACTGTCAAAACCATCAAGAAAAAGCAAAAGCAGAAGGGTCGAGGCACTGTTAGAACAATTACTAAACAAGTATCCAGTGAGTCATTTTTCAACTTATTCAATCCACTGAAAGCGTCTGGGGATAGAGAATCACTGGATAAAGATTCTGAATTCGTATTAGCCTCTGGTTTGGAAATTGGACTCTTTTTCCGTGAGCGGATAGTCTAAATTGGACACTTTTTCCATGGGCTGTGCTATACTTCGCTGGGGAGGCCTTAGAGGACGATGACAATTTTGACGAAGGTGAAGAAGAAGAGGAGGAATTAGAAGGTGACGAGGAGGGAGAAGATGAGGATGATGTGGAAATTAACCCCAACAAGGAACCCAGCCAGCTGGCGGAATGCAAGCAGCAGTACGAAGTGGAGGTGGGCGCCTGGCAGACCGGCTGTCGGGACTCCAAGCTTGTGGGGGACGCCTCAGTCTTCGCCGCATGCGGCACAATCCCGTCGACAGCGCTTACTCCATCTAGATCGTTTTCCAGTGCATGATTTTCACTTTCACTTTTCTTTTTTCCTTATTGTTTTGCTTAACTTGTACAGTGGCAACTGAAATGCATTTCAGAAATAGGAGGTTTCGTCCAGTACCATCTGCAGCCTTGGTGCCTGTAGCTCTGGACTTGCCTGGGCCTTTCCCTGGGGGAGGGCTCCATAGACCACGTTGGGGTGGGGTGGGGTGGGGTGGGGGTCACTTGGTAAAAAGGGCCGAGGTCTGGTGATGAGGTTCCAGGGATCTAGAACCTCTCCTACCGCTCCTGCAGTTGGACTGAATTCTTCCCTTTCATGTGAAGAAACCCACTCGCTGTTTCCAGCAGCTTAATCTGCCGAGTGTGCAGCCTGCATCACCTGCTGTATGCTAATCATCTCAGAAGGACTGTGTAGAGTAGGGCCCGGTTCTCCTTAGGATATTGCTTCTTGATTTTCTTCTTTTAGGGTTGGGTCAGGGTTGTGGCACACCACCTCAGGCGAGAGCTGCCATAGGTCACTTCATATTTGTTTATCCCTTCTTGCCTGGGAGGACTGTGGCCTTTTGCTGTCGCTCGTCCTTGCCATTTCTGAACCACCCTGGTGACCTGAGCAGGAAGATGTGCCACTTCTTAGCAGGCGCAAGGGCTGTGCGGAAGAAACACTGCTTCCTGCCACCAGGGCTGAAGACACGAGCCTGTCCTCGTGACATAGACACCGCCCTGCTGCCGGAGCCGGGATTCGACGATCTTCTCCAGTGAGGGGCTGGGCTGGGAAGTCCTGCGTTTCATTTGAGCATATGAGCATCAAGTCCTGCTTTCTCAGTAGCCCCCTTGCTGGGCCCTACCATTCATCCTGTCTGAAGGTCCCGGTTTGGTGTGACCGCTTGGTGGCTGGCAAGTGGGGTTTCCAAGTGGGTGACAGTGCTCTCCGGCAGCCTGGGATGGCCGTGTCCGCACTGACCAGGCCTGTAGAGAGTGCTCAGCCTAACCTTAGAACACATTTATAGCTGAATACAGTGTTTTCAATTTGTACGTAATAGTTAGAATATTCTATTAAAGTTATGAAACATGGAGAAAAAAAAGAAAAAGTGCAAATGAGTTCCAATTTATAACTGATAGAGAAAAGATCAAACCCACAGAAGTGTCACTCTGTTTGTACAAGTCACACAATTGCAAGAAGTTTTTAAAACGAGCTGCAAAGTTATAATAGTTAAGCTTGCAGCAAACACTCCTTTATTAATTCTACCTTTTGAGTGTTACATAATACCTAAGGCATACAATATGGAAATGTGATTTGTTGTAAAAGCAGATAGTTGCTTTGTAATGGGAACAAAAAATAAAACCAGTACGCTTTTGCCTTTTGGTATATGTATGCTGCATCTAACTGACAAGGAGGAAGAAGATGACCACATATAGACAGAGCAAGCAAGTTGAAATCTTGAAAAGTTTTAAGTGTTCCAAGAGACAAAATACTTGAAGGAAATAATTTCTGAGTAAGATCCCTCTACAGAATTACATGGAATATTTTAGGGGATTTTTAAAGATTTTGCCCTGGTACTAGTTTTAACTTTATGTTTGCCATTAGAGTTGAAGACACAAAGTAAGATTACTTCCCTTGTAGATAGTCTAGTAAAAGATCATAAGAGGGAATAATATTCCTCTTATTGATTTGAAATAAGTACTATTAATTTGAAAAAATTATTTTAATTATTAAATAATGGTGATTCATCCATCCTTCTTTTACATTTTCTTCCAAATTGATAGTTCACATACATAAAATAGATTTTGAAAGTTTGAGGAATGTTGCTTGATAGGTCTTAGGTTTAAATCCTGGAGTAGTGTTGACATCTGAGACATACATCTGGGCTTCTGACCCTGGTTTCTGTTAACCACATGTTGGAGGACCTTCTCCTTTTAAAATACAAACCAGGGCCCCCTCTTTTCCTTTCTGCGCCATCGTGGTGTATTCTTGCCTCCACTTCTCGCCATGTCTTCTCACAAGACTTTCAGGATTAAGCGATTCCTGGCCAAGAAACAAAAGCAAAATTGTCCCATTCCCCAGTGGATTCGGATGAAAACTGGAAATAAAATAAGGTACAACTCCAAAAGGAGACATTGGAGAAGAACCAAGCTGGGTCTATAAGGAATTGCACATGAGATGGCACATATATTTGTGCTGTCTGAAGGTCACGATCACATTACCATATCAAACTGAAACTGTCACCACTCTCTGGAGAGTTTGACGTATTTTCCTCTCTGAATCTATTATGAATGCATTGGTTGGCTGGGTTCAGTAATAAATATGTGAGGCCTTTCATTTAAAAAAAAAAAAAAAAGTACAAACCAGGAACTGAACTTAATGATCTTAATGGTTCTTTTGAACAATAACAGTCTAGGATCTTTTTTTTTTTTTTTTTTTCCTGTGATGATTTTTGAATGCTTTTGTGTGGAACCACATGCATCATAACACATATAAATCTGTGAAAGTATAACAGTTAAATATTATATCTTACTTTTTCAGGTTTTGATTTCTCATCTAAACTTTCCAATGCTTTGTCAGTGAAGCAAACTAACTCACATTGACTAGCCTGCTCCTCTTTAGCAAACCCTTCAAATAAATGCCTCATTTCCTCCTCACCACTGTCATTTTAGATTGGCCAGACGGTTGTTACTTACCTTTTAAGAAGGAGGAGACAGGTGGCAGGGCGTGGTGGCTCACACCTGTAATCCCAGCACTTTGAGGGGCCGAGGCAGGCGGATCATGAGGTCAGGAGATCGAGACCATCCTGGCTAACACGGTGAAACCCCATCTCTACTAAAAATACAAAAAATTAGTCGGGCATGGTGGCGGGCACCTGTAGTCCCAGCTACTCAGGAGGCTGAGGCAGGAGAATGGCGTGAACCCGGGAGGTGGAGCTGGCAGTGAGCTGAGATGGCGCCACTGCACTCCAGCTTGGGTGACAGAGCAAGACTCCGTCTCAAAAAAAAAAAAAAAAGAATGAGGAGACAGGTTGAACCAGGTGGAGTGACTTGCCCAAGGTCGTTTAAGTATTGGAGATAGAATTAAAATTTAGGTCTTTGAATTCTAGAGTGTTTTTGTATGATACCATCCTGACTATATATCTCAAATCAAAGTTTAAAGTTTTCTTTGATTTATTCATAGGAGTGAGCTAGAGAAACCCATACCATGTAGATATACATAGTAGATATTGGTCAAATGTTACTTGATTTTAAATCTCATTTTCTCATGTTTTTTGTAACATTTTGTCTAGTAGGACCTTTTTGTGGTTTGTGGTCATTTTAGCCATTACATCTACTGTCATACTATCACTGCAACCCAGAAATGGGGTGATGGGGTTATTAACTAGTTAAATACAATCTAAAGGAGAATTTTAGAGATAGTTAAGATTGACGATGGAGTTCTTGTCCACCTCCTATTGTATTGAGGGAGTGAACTAATATTTACTGAAGGCCTCCTCCACAACAACTCCTGTAAATGATTTACATAAATGTGTCACATTTAATCCACACAACAAACCAATGGTGTGGGTATTTATAAAGGAGGTATCTGAGGCACAGTGAGGCTAAATAACTTGACCAAATATACACGTTTATTAAGAGCAAAGCCAGGATTTGACATTCAACTCCATCTGAACTCAAAGCACTGTGTCTTCCCCACTGTATTGGTAAGTGAAAGTAAGAAGATAACTCAAAGATGTAGAATTATAATCTGGAATTGGAATTTACTTCCATTGATAAACCATTTGAAAATTGCAGCTCCAAGGCATTGGAAGATGGAAAGAAAGCTAGTGAGCAATTATTTATTGCCTTTGTGTCATGCTCCTACAGTTTGCTCCTCCTTATCTCCTTATCTGTGGTCAGAGTAGATAGCATGGAGGTTTTATGCCCATGCTACAGATTTGCAGAGACCTCAAGGTCAGAAAGCTGGTTTATGGCAGCATGTGAATATAGACGGACTTACACAGATTAGAAAATTGAGAAGTTGAGGGCAGGAGAAAATTCTGGATAGAAGAGAACGTGGGATTGGGAATGAGAAAACCTGGGTCCTAGACCTGATTTCATTGCTTACTGGCAGTGTGAATGTGGGGGATAATAACACTTACTTTACAAGGACTGAGGAAATTAAATAAAATAGCATGTGGAAAAGGGTATTGATGATGGTTAGTCACCATAAAACTGGTAGTTGTTATTCAGGACACAGGAAGAGTTTCAAGAGACAGGACATTTGGTATAACATTATATACAACCAATGGTTTAAGGAGGACAATGTAGAAGAGGTTGTGGATTTGCACTTCGGAGGTCATTGTTGACAGACCTTGTGAATAGATGAGGGTAGGAACCAGATTCCTGGGCTTTAAGTAAGAAGACGGATAGTCCAATAGGCCAGTTATATATCTGGCTGTGAAAGAGGAAAAGAAAATCTGAGTACCTTTGAGAGTCAAAGGTTATTTCCAGATAAAGAAACCTAGTGGACTTCATCATTCTCTTAGATAACTGCTGGGAAGAAGTAGGGTGATTGTAACACCCTCCGCATTGACACAGAACTGTAATCGGGAGCCCAGGGAAAGTGCATATTTTTTGAAGGAGTAGGCAAGAGGATATTCTCTAGAGTACCAGTTTCCAACTGTTGTCCATATTTATGGACCAAGAACATAAAAGAAACATTGCTCAGCTCCGACCTGAAGTTATGTAGAACAAACATTGTTCTGAGTTCAACTAGATGATTTTTCTTTCATAGCTGGGGTGGACATTATGTTACCTGCAGGGAGTAAGTCACTGAAGGACCCTGAAGATAGAGCCTCAAAAAAACACCCTTTGATCTTACTCCTAAAAAAAATGGGAGAAATTGGAAAAATTCATCATAGAAACACAAAAATATGGAGAAGTAGGAAAAAAGAGAAGAAGGAAAGAAATGCAGCATAGGAAATAATATTATGTAGACTGAAATGAAGAATGTTAGGAATATTTGAACAAAGTTGAACCAGATGAAATGTAGCAGGCAGAAACAGAAGTAGGAGAATTTTTGGACTGATTTAAGTTGGTCTCTTGTTACTTTTATGACTTTCCACCAGGAAGAATAGTGATTAAGAATGTGCACTCTGCTTTTAAAAATTGAGAAAGAAGGCTGCATTCAGTGGCTTATGCCTATAGTCCCAACACTTTGTGAGGCCAAGACAGGAGGATTGCTTGAGGCTGAGAGTTTGAGACCAGCCTGGGCAACAGAGGGAGACCCTATCTTTACTAAAAATTAAAAGATTAATGAGGTGTTGTGGCATGTGTCTGTAGTCCTCGCTACTTGGGAGACTGAGGTGGGAGGATCACTTGAGCCTGGTATTTTAAAGAAATCAAATCAATAATTAATAATCTTCCAAAACAGAAAGCACCAGGTTCAGATGGGTTCACTGGTGAATTCTACCAGATATTTAAGGAAGAAATATAAATTCTCTATAATCTATTTGAGAAGATAGAAGAAGAGGGCATACTTTCCAACTCATTTTATGAGGCCAGCATTATTCTTGTGCTAAAACCAAATAACAATACAAGAAAAGAAAATTAAGACAAATATTTCTCATGAACATACATGTAGAAATCTTAAACAAAATATTAGCAAATTGGATCCAACAGCATATAGAAAGAATTATACATCATGACTAAGTGGTATTTATCTCAGGTATGCAAGGCAGGTTCAACATATGAAAATCAGTTAATCCATCACATTGACAGACTATGAAAGAAAAATCACATGATCATACCAATAGATACAGAAAAAGCATTTGACAAAATCCAACATCAATTTATGATAAAAACTCTCAGTAAACTAGGAATAGAGGGGAAACTTTTTCAATTTGTTAACAAATGCCTACAAAAAACCCTGCAGCTAACATCATCTGTAATGGTGAGAAACTTGAAGCTTTCCCACTAAGACCAGGAACAAGGAAAGAATGTTCTTCTCACCACTCCTTTTCAATATTGTATTATAAGCACTAACTAATGCCATAAGACAAGAAAAGGAAATAAAATTTATACAGATGAGAAGAAAGAAAGAAAC